CCATGATCTGTCTGTAGCCTTTTTCTTCCTCACAAATATCGTAATTCATTCCCATAAGTATTGGAGGTACCACAACAGAGGTATATAATTATAACCCACCCAAGCTAGGCCTATCTGAAATATGAAAATGATCAATACATTCACCAGGTAGCCTATTGTTGTGGCAGAGATGCGTCCGTAGCAGATTGCTAAACGGTACTTTATATGGATAATATTAATGTAGGTAGGCTACTCTGTTGTTGCCAGGCAAAACTGGAGAAATTGAAAGAAGCACTTTCTGGTTACTAATCTGGATATGTGCTTCCGCCTTTGCGCGCCAATGCTAATGACTGGTCATTGGTCAATAAGACATGGAACATTTTGGTTCTGAAGCACAGATGTTTTTTAAATAAGGATTTGGTCCAATGCCGTAGGCCTATGTTATTGACCAGATCGAATAAGCAAAGGTATTCATATAAATACAAATGGTAGGCTATATGTAGCCTATTAAAATTATATTTTCCCCATTCAGTTTCACACTCGTGACCCCCCAAAACCTTCTGAATGAACTGGCTCACCTGACCTGTGTTGATTGACAGTTTGCTGGTCAGAGGGCCGAGTATGCGTTTCACCAGCCAATCTGTTTTTTTGCAAGTGCGATACTGTTTCTGGCTGCGTGGAGAGTAGCATGGAGACTTTGTGCCACAAAATGTGAGACAAAACTTTTCAAAACCTGGCCAGATAATTTCAAGTCATCAGTCTCAAGTCAAAGTCGAGTCCTGAGCCTTGAGGCTCCAAGTCCAAGTCAAGTCTCAAATTATTTTATTTTCTATCAAGTCGAGTATCAAGTCATCAAATGTTTTACTCAAGTCAGACTTGAGTCCAAGTCATGTGATTCGAATCCAAACCTCTGGCTCAGGGTAATACAAGTAAAAATACTGCTTGCTGCTCAATTGCCGGTTAAACCCGTTTTTCTCAATTTCAGGTTTAATCAGACTTGCATGCCATACAAGCAACAAATAATGCTTTTTTTGGCATTATCATTGTCTACTGTGTAATGTTGTCTTTATACTGTATGTAACAGTAAACAATTCTTTCCAACCAATCTTTTTGGTAAATGTGTATATGTTAAATTTTATTACTACATTGAACTGACAACAGGATTTTGGCAAGTTTTGAGTAATGACTGAGAGAGGCCTTTTGATTTTATCCCTTGTTCATGAAATCCCTCCAATAGCTTAGAGGACGCATTGTCAGTTATTGCCACTGTATATCCCCGGGACAAACCATCTGTCTCTTGCATGAGGTCATCCACACACGGTGAGAGAGGGAGATAAAGAATGCTGGGGGAGATGGCCAGGGTTAAAAGACCAGATGACACAAAGAGTAAAAAGCAGTACCTTGCTAGCAGTTACCCATAGACTTCCATTCATTGGGCTAACGCTGGTTAGTAATTGCACTAACACTAGTTAGCAACTTCCTTCAAACTGCACATAGAGACATAAAAATGGTATCCACTGGTTCATTTGACTCTGTGGAAATAGATAAAGGGCTTCATTGCCAAAATTCTGAAGTATGTAACAATACCAAATGTAACATACTGTATATTGTACTAATTTGTGTGTCCCGGATTTAAATGTATTATGTTACATCTAGTCTATGAGACCAGGCTGGTACTTCAACACCACCCAGGACAGTGATGTTGTTTATGACATTGACATTCTTCAATGGTCTCTTTTGTGTTGGCTGATGCAGTAGATATATGGTGATGTCACAGGTCAGGTTGTTTTCAACAGTGTGAATCATTTTTTACATTTTAGTCATTTAGCAGACGCTCTTATCCAGAGTGACTTAGTTAGTGAGTGCATACATTTTCATACTGGCCCCCCTTGGGAAACGAACCCACAACCCTGGTGTTGCAAGCGCCATGCTCTACCAACTGAGCTACAGTATTCACATGTTCTAAAGCCCTTTTGGAAGGTGCATTGATGTCTAGTTTTCTCAGCTGTGTGTACTTGCAAATAGAGTTGCTGACGAAGTAAGGAAATACAGAGTTTTTTGAGAAAGCGATCATACAAACAATGAAAAGTCTATAACACAAGGATGTTTTGAAAGCCTACTTCTATGGGATATTTTGCAAGGGTGGGAGACATTTTATTTCAGACAATTCCAATTGTCTCGCACTAGGTCGAAAGTGGTGCCAGCTCTTCTCCATGCTATGCCAATACTCTACACAGTATATTGAGAGCTTCTAAATGCCATCGATTGGTTCTGCGTCCATAGCTTCTAGTGCCCAAATTACTGTAGTCTATGGACATTTGTCTATTTGTGTCCTTTTCAAGATTCTGGGATTTTTGTGAAAACCTACCTACAGTTTTGTATGCAACAAAAAAATGTAATTCCGCACCAAACGATGTCCAGCCTTAAAAGTAGAGATTCACAATCAAACTTATTCTTAAAGCAAATACATCCCGATACAGGGAAACTTACACCGTGTTATACCATTACGGAAATGGAAAGCGAACCTCTAGAATTGTGTAATGCTCTAATCGCTTTCACAGTACTCCTCCTACAAAGGCGTTATTGGTGCCGTCAAGAGTATCCATGCAATTTGAGACAGTTTCAGTGAGTAAACTACATATCTACCCAACCCTGATGAACCAAGCCGATTGAGTGGAACTCATCATGATTCACCAAACAATTAACACGACGTAGTAGCAAATAACTCTAAGGACATATTTCACCTTTACAACTTAACTTCACATTATTCAGATGGTAAAATAGGAAGCAGTGTATTATGTTGACAGACACGACTTCTACAAGGTTCTGTCACAGAATTAGTGATCTGGAATGACTCATGTCTCTGCCCGTTTTAATCATAGATTGTCTAAAATTAGCGAATTAGTCACTATAGCGGTTCCCTCCTTGCTCTAAGCCTTGTCAGAAGGCATGCTATTGAAGGCTAAGAATCCAGGTGAAAGAGACAGGGACGTCAAAAACATTGAGCTTCTTAATGCGTTTTTACTCCTGCTTACAGATAAAACACTGTCTTAGTAAATATTCAACCCCCATCCACTTGACAATATTGCGATATTTGTCAAGGATGGTTTTAATTTCTAAATAGACCTCAGGTTTTGTCGTCGCTTTCTTTGCTCTCAATATACTGGCTTTTCAGCATGCAGGATGCGGACATCTTTTTAATGCCTGCATGGTATTGTATCGACTTGCTTTTTTGCATGCCATACGGTAGCTTGAACCCACACTATTCACTCTGAGGAAAAAAAGGATAATGATGTTTTTCCTGACATTGAGCATGAAAGCAGAGTTGAGTTAAGCAGATAAGAGTTTAGCAGCTGCTGAAGGCATGATTCGTTTGTTAATGAAAGTGAACTGTCTAGGAGGAGATTTTTTAAGAAGCCTTTCTTTTGAGGAAAGTTTTGAGTTCCAACATAGTTCATCTGCCCCAGCTGTTCCAAACTGTATTTCTGCCTTGAATAGGTGGAATTGTTCCGGCCATTTTAATTCCATATGCTGGGTCACTGCTGCATAATCGAGTCATTAGCATATTCTTAATTGGTATAACAAGGGTCCCTTTCGAAAAAAATCTCTGGGAGCAGAAAACATCATCCTCTATATCAGGGGCGGACTCAGACCAGATATCGTCTCTAGCATTTCAAAACACCAGCTCTTTTTTTCCCTTGAGGCCCCCACAATGGACCATTTATTTCCTTGAGGCCCCCACACTGGCCCATTGTATTCCTTGAGGCCCCCATTATTAGCCAGATAATTCTAATTTTGCACAAAAAAGTTAGACAGGCCCACTACATAAAAAATGGACCAGCAATCTGGCATTTGCTCTATATCCTTAATAGTCACCCTGTGTACTTTTGAGAGTTGTTAGTAATCCAGTTGAGCAATGAGCCTCAGTATTTTGACTCCTCCTAGACAGCTCCTTAGCCAATCAGGGAAATGGTATGTAAAGAAAGGGAGGGTTGGGCTGGACATGTATATTTTGGAACTTTTCCCCACAATGCAAAGGGATAGGAATGTCTTTATCAATGTTCAATCAATTATATATCTGCTGTGTTTTGGGGGGCATTTGGCTATCGCATGGTTGGCTGCCATTTTCAACAAACCAAAAAATGAAGTGAAGTGATGAAGTTTGAAGGGATGATGTTCATAACCAAACCTTTGTTTGGGTAGTTAAATCTCTTCACACTCGAGATCCAAAGTTCTTTTTCCCCATCATGTTGGAAGAAACGAGAATTGACACTCCAAAATGTTGTAAAGGCAAATTATTTGGTTGCATTGATTTTGTATTTGTTGGGGATGAGCGCTGATCAAAATGGTTATAGTATTTTAGAATACCAGTGGTTAGTTGGTATTAAAATCCTGTAAAACTCAAACTTAAAGTTAATTGCCTTCGGTTCTCATAACGCTTAAATGCATAGCTGCATAACTTACTGTATGTTACTTCCTCATTCCAATCATCTTGTAATTTCACGTGTACATCTGGATTTATGTCCATTTTTAAATGCTTCTCAAGTGAAATCATCTATCTTCTCATGTTGGTTGATAGACACTGATACATACAGTATATGTTCAGTGTTTCGCTGTGGAGAATTCTCAAACCACCATGAGCATTTTATCAGATTCTTTAAAATGATTATTTAAATCAATTATGTTTTCCCTTCCATATCATTATAATTTGGCTACTCATTGAATGATTGAATGTTGATCTTAATTTACCACAGAGCATTGACTAAAAAACTATGGTAGATTGGAATGCAATGGCACAACTTCATAACGTTTGACCATTTTGTTTCCAACATCGATTGGGTGCCTTTTAGATGTGGAGTGCAGGCATGACGAAAGGTGAAACCCTTTGCACACATTGTATAGCTTCTTTAACAGCAACCACCTCTGTTAGTTCACGGCCTCTCCAGCATGCTCAGGTTCCCTTTGCAGTATTGGGTGTCACTGATGGGTATCTTCCTCTGTTTCTCTCTTCCTTACTTTAGGTATCATGACACACAGGAAGTGACCAGTAACTTCCTGGGAGCCATGTGGCTCATCTCTATTACCTTCCTCTCCATTGGCTATGGAGACATGGTACCTAACACGTACTGTGGGAAAGGCGTATGTCTGCTTACAGGGATCATGGTATGTTATCGGTCATTAGAAATGAGGTTTTGTGTGTGTTTCATGCAATATTTAATGACTATTAGGCATACTATTCCCACGAAACAGCCATGTTTGAAATCTGAAATCTTGTTTCTGCAACTTGCTTTATTCTAGAGCAGCTCAACATTTCCTCCAAACTAATACAATGACTCAACTCAGCAGTCACCTTTCAGAGGTTAATTGATTTATGGGCCTGACTATGTTTCTGACCAATAGGGAGCGGGTTGCACTGCGCTGGTGGTCGCCGTGGTAGCCAGGAAGTTGGAGTTGACCAAGGCTGAGAAGCATGTCCACAACTTCATGATGGACACACAACTCTGCAAACGAGTGAGTCACTCATGCTCTCACTTTAGTGGCATCATTGATCTTCCACCACTGAGCACTAAAGTAAATGTCACATCACTTAATGTATGGGAGGTTGTCTAGAAATAATACAAGAACTGTCGTTTATGGTTCCTGACGGAACACGGTATTAATAACTGTTAAAAAGAACAAATTAATGTCCAGGTGGTCCTTTGTAGCTCAGTTGGTAGACCATGGCGCTTATAATGCCCAGTGGTGAAAAAAGTACCCAATTGTCGTACTTGAGTAAAAGTAAAGACATTCATAAACATTTGGGTGTCAGGGAAAATGTATGGAGTAAAAAGTACATTATTTTCTTTAGGAATGCAGTGAAGTAAAAGTTGTCCAAAATATAGAAAAGTAAAGTACAGATACCCCCCAAAAACGACTAAAGTACTTTACACTACTGGTAATTGCAAGGTAGTCGGTTTGATTCCTGGGACGACCCGTACGTAAAATGTATGCACACATGACTGAAAGTCGCTTTGAATAAAAGCTAAATGGCATATATTAAATATTATTATGATTATTATAAGATGTATTTTCATCGGTTTACCTTTCTCAGTTCCCTACAAGTCTACCTTTCTCAATTCCCTAAAAGTAAATCCATATAGAGCATATGTTACAAAGCAGGTGTTATTCGAGACACCAGTGTTGTAGTTCTCGAGTCCGGTCTCGAGACCACATATTGAGTGTCTCAGTCTTGTCTTGGTTTCGGATACATTTTCACTCGGTCTGGACTCTGTCTCGGACAGTGAGGCCAGGGGAGTAAAAAACTCATAACTATCAGCTTCCATTCAGTCAGCGCATAAAAGCAATTAGCCAGGCCAAATATATATACTCCTTTCTTGAAACACTAATATCATATCGCCTATTGAAACAATCCCTTCTGTTGCATATCAAAGTAGTGTAGTGGAGGTATACGATTTTTAATTATGTAGTACAATAGAGAAATCATGCACAAAGTAGCCTAGACAATCGCAAAGCATGTGAAATATATTCACATGCGCTCAGCACACATAGTTTCAGCAGAACATCATCTGCAGGCAGCAAGAGCGCGCATCTCTCAATTGGTTGTCCATGGAGCAGCTCACAGAATAATGACATCTCTAGCCGGTAGGTAGGAAAGACGTTTCAACTTATAGTAACTGCTAACTAAGGCAACAATGAGTATGCAAACGATGTATTGAAAAAGTTTGGTCCATAGTCTTGGTTATTAGGCTATTTGTGATGTGCAATTCAGTCACCATGCACTGTCTGCATGAACATTTCAAAAAACCTTCCCAATAAAATGTTGACTGCCATGTAGGCCTACAGTGCCTTGCAAAAGTATTCATCCCCCTTGGTGTTTTTCCTATTTTGTTGCATTACAACCTGTAATATAAATGGATTTTTATTTGGATTTCATGTATGGACATACACAAAATAGTCCAAATTGGTGAAGTGAAATGAAAAAAATTACTTGTTTCAAGAAATTCTAAAAAAGAAATAACTGAAAAGCGTTGCGTGCATATGTATTCACCCCCTTTGCTATGAAGCCCCTAAATAAGATCTGGTGCAACTAATTACCTTCAGAAGTCACATATTTAGTTAAATAAAGTCCACCTGTGTGCAATCTAAGTGTCACATGATCTGTCACATGATCTCAGTATATATACACCTGTTCTGAAAGGCCCCAGAGTCTGCAACACCACTAAGCAAAGGGCACCACCAAGCAAACGGCACCATGAAGACCAAGGAGCTCTCCAAACAGGTTAGGGACAAAGTTGTGGAGAAGTACAGATCAGGGTTGGGTTATAAAAAAATATCAGAAACTTTGAACATCCCACGGAGCACCATTAAATCCAATATAAAAAAATGTAATGAATATGGCACCACAACAAACCTGCCAAGACAGGGCCGCCCACCAAAACTCACGGACCAGGCAAGGAGGGCATTAATCAGAGAGTCAACAAAGAGACCAAAGATAACCCTGAAGGAGCTGCAAAGCTCCACAGAGGAGATTGGAGTATCTGTCCATAGGACCACTTTAAGCCGTACACTCCACAGAGCTGGGCTTTACGTAAGAGTGGCCAGAAAAAAAGCCATTGCTTAAAGATAAAAATAAGCAAACACGTTTGGTGTTCACCAAAAGGCATGTGGGAGACTCCCCAAACACATGGAAGAAGGTACTCTGGTCAGATGAGACTAAAATTGAGCTTTTTGGCCATCAAGGAAAACGCTATGTCTGGCGCAAACCCAACACCTCTCATCACCCTGAGAACACCATCGCCACAGTGAAGCATGGTGGTGGCAGCATCATGCTGTGGGGATGTTTTTCATCGGCAGGGACTGGGAAACTGGTCAGAATTGAAGGAATGATGGATGGCGCTAAATACAGGAACATTCTTGAGGGAAACCTGTTTCAGTCTTGCAGAGATTTGAGACTGGGATGGAGGTTCACCTTCCAGCAGGACAATGACCCTAAGCATGCTGATAAAGCAACACTCAAGTGGTTTAAGGGGAAACATTTACATGTCTTGGAATGGCCTAGTCAAAGCCCAGACCTCAATCCAATTGAGAATCTGTGGTATGATTTAAAGATTGCTGTACACCATCCAACTTGAAGGTTGAATAGTTATGCACGCTCAAGTTCTGTTTTTTTGTCTTATTTCTTGTTTGTTTCACAATAAAACATATTTTGCATCTTCAAAGTGGTAGGCATGTTGTGTAAATCAAATGATACAAACCCCCCAAAAATCCATTTTAATTCCAGGTTGTAAGGCAACAAAATTGGAAAAATGCCAAGGGGGGTGAATACTTTCGCAATCCACTGTACCTGACAGAATGATATAATGCTGATTTGTATCAATGGGGAGTGCATTTGTTCTGCTCAATTTAATTAAAGAGCTACTACACCCTCCCAAAATATATATTTTAGATTTTTCCCAGACCTCAAATTTTTGTAATTTCTTTATTTGAAAAAGTGTTGTTTTCAGAGTGAAAATCTGAAAAATCTATAGGAAAACAGGATTTTTCACACTGGGCACCTTTCCTTAACACAGGACCCACTTCTCCAGGCACCACTACACCACTGCATAGGGCAGATGGAAAGACAGCAGTCCATTCACTGAGACATAAGGTCCCAATCATAAGAATACAAAAACACAACTATTAGGCTAAGCATTTCACGTTTAGCACACAAAGTAACCAGTGATCTAAAGTGTAAATGCTTCACACACATTAGTTGTTTTCAAAGAGATGGCTAACAGCATGCGAGTTGCAATAAAAAACACAGTTCCACACACCAGATTATGATCATTTGAAACTTAACTTCTTGTTGAAAGTTATTCTTGAAAAGGGAGAAGCTAACAAATTAGCAACAACATCCTCTTCGATAACACCTGCTGCAGCTGCTGCAAACTAGCCTACAACAGAAGCTAGCTAGCTAGACTGTGGGAAAACTACTGCTCGCTCTTGCATATCGACCTGTTAGCCTTCGAGAAGGCAACAGTTTCAATACTTTTTGTGAAAACGGTCCCACCCATTACAAGTCAATGTGATTGGTTGATTCCACAGTCACTCCAACATTTTGCCCTAATACAGTTAATGGCAGATGCATTCTATCAAGCTTCTGATGGCCTAGCCAATGGCTGACATAGCTAGCTAGATTTATCTCCCCAGAGACCACCCAAGATTTTTTAGATTTTTTATTCAGTGTTAACCCTTTCCTTTCTAACAAAAGAGATTAAATCAGAACATCATTGAAAATAATAATTTAATATAATTAATATATTTTTTATTTATTTTATAAATCCTTAGCCGTCTTGTTCTTGAATTGGTCTCGCTTTAGGTGGTCTCGAACACAACACTGCGAGACACCTTGCCTCTTTGCCGATGACACAACAGTGGTAGGCCTGATCACCGACAACGATGAGACAGCCTATAGGGAGGAGGTCAGAGACCTGGCCGTGTGGTGCCAGGACAACAACCTCTCCCTCAACGTGACCAAGACAAAGGAGATGATTGTGGACTACAGGAAAAAAAAGAGGACTGAGCACGCCCCCATTCTCATCGACGGGGCTGTAGTGGAACAGGTTGAGAGCTTCAAGTTCCTTGGTGTCCACATCACCAACGAACTATCATGGTCCAAACACACCAAGACAGTCGTGAAGAGGGCACGACAAAGCCTATTCCCCCTCAGGAGACTGAAAAGATTTGGCATGGGTCCTCAGATCCTCAAAAAATTCTACAGCTGCACCATCGAGAGCATCCTGACTGGTTGCATCACCGCCTGGTATGGCAACTGCTTGGCCTCCGACCGCAAGGCACTACAGAGGGTAGTGCGTACGGCCCAGTACATCACTGGGGCCAAGCTTCCTGCCATCCAGGACCTCTATACCAGGCGGTGTCAGAGGAAGGCCCTCAAAATTGTCAAAGACTCCAGCCACCCTAGTCATAGACTGTTCTCTCTGCTACCGCACGGCAAGCGGTACCGGAGTGCCAAGTCTAGGTCCAAAAGACTTCTCAACAGCTTCTACCCCCAAGCCATAAGACTCCTGAACAGCTAATCATGGCTACCCGGACTATTTGCACTGCCCCCCCCACCCCATCCTTTTTACGCTGCTGCTACTCTGTTAATTATTTATGCATAGTCACTTTAACTCTACCCACATGTACATATTACCTCAACTACCTCAACTAGCCGGTGCCCCCGCACATTGACTCTGCAACGGTACCCCCCTGTATATATAGCCTCCCTACTGTTACTTTATTTTACTTCTGCTCTTTTTTTTTTTCTCAACACTTTTTTTGTTGTTGTTTTATTTTTACTTTTTTTGTTAAAAATAAATGCACTGTTGGTTAAGGGCTGTAAGTAAGCATTTCACTGTAATGTCTGCACCTGTTGTATTCGGCGCATGTGACCAATAAAATTTGATTTGATTTGATTTGTGAGGGTTCACATGCGTTTCCTCATTGGTCCGCAGGTAAAGAACACAGCTGCCAATGTACTCAGGGAAACATGGCTCATCTACAAACACACTAAGCTGGTCAAGAAGATAGATCACGCTAAGGTGCGCAAACACCAGCGCAAGTTTCTACAGGCCATCCATCAGTAAGTACCGTTTCCCAAAGAATATGACTTCCTTGTAAGCATGCCTGAAACGTATGTGAACACTTAGTTGTTTTTTACCACCTGTTCAAAGTTGTTAAATATATGTTATTGTCTTTATTGTTATTTGTTGTTGAGGCAGTAGGAAGTAAAAGTGGTTTTAGTTGCACTGCTATCTTACTAACAGTATTTAGCTGTATTTGTGTATTCCTAACAGCACTTCTAGCCAGCAGCATCACTGGTAGTGTTTGTTATAATGTCCTTATTTTCCTACTCTCTCTGCCATTTCCTGTGACAATATCCTATGTGTTCAGTTAGCTAGTTGTGTTATTCAGTAGTACACTAAAATAATAACACACACACACAAAATGCAGCTGCACCTGACACACACACACACACACACTAGAGCCCTGCACGGGCATGAATTTTAAGCCCGAGCCCTACCCATGCCTGATTGCTTCTGCCAAATTTAAGGCCCTGCCTGAAACCCAAAATCTAAAACAACTTCCTCCGTTAGTAAATCCATTAGCTGCTCCTCTCTGTCTGTCACTCGCTCCCAGCGCGCAGCTCGCTCTGCATGCGCACTGTTCATGGTGCTCTGAGTCTGTGAGTATCCATAGTATCCCGCTTGGGCTGCTCTGGTCAATGAAGAGACATGAGACAGCAGTTAGCTGTTAGCTACTTTTCGTCACTCTAAACTCAAGGAACATTATTATTTTCTGTGAAATAATCTGTCATGTCTTATATTTGATGAGGTTGAAGCACTTCTGACACTATGTTATTATCTTAATATGACACCATGTTATGATCTTAGTACTGCGCAGCAGAGCACGCGCAAATGGCTCAGCTTCAAAATGTTAGTGATCAATTTAGTGATACCTGAGCCCTGCCCGTACCCTAGTTATTGAGGAAAAAACAGGCCCTACCCGGCCCTAACCCGATGTATAATGACGGGGCCCGTCGGGCTCGGGTTGGGTAGCAAAGCTCTAACACACACACTCACTCACACTCACTCACACTCACATACACACATACACACACACCATCCTCAGTCTACACTACAATGTACTGTAATGGCCCTCCTTCCCTGCCCTTCCCCAACCCTTACCCTGTGCTTACAGTGAGAAGTGTAATGGTTCACTTGTTTCGTGGATGTTGTGGGGTTTAAAACTTTGTACTGTGTTCTGTCTTTGTTTTGCTCTATCACTGCAGAGCTCAGAAGTAAGTTGAGTCTTCTATGTTCCTCCTGTTTTCTCTACATTCTCTCTCTCCATGTCTACGTTTGACATGCATGAACCTTCAAATGCTGGATGCCGATTGTTTTGGTTTCCTTTTAATGTTCCATTTACCCCCATCCTCTGAATGGAATGACAAAAAGCATCAACATTACCACTGATGATGACATGGTAGTGGGGTGTCTGAAGAAAGTCAGAGGCATCTGGCAGTATAAGCTTGTCGGCTTGGCCAGAGTCCATTCATCAATGAAGTCGCCATCTATGATGTTACCATGATTAATATAGCTACAATATGTAGGCTATATTAACCTGCATTGGCAGACCCATCCTTGCTCCTGATTTTGTATTAAACACCTATCTTGAGGGTTTAAAAAGTCTGTTTTTGTTTTGGAGTGTTTTTAAAAAACGGTAAATCAACACTCAGTCATATCAGACACTCACAATAAAGAGCACAACTCAAGTGGTATCTTTACTCACCATAGTAGTACCCTGGAAAACAGTTTTAGAGCATTTTTTGTACCCAGCTTAGGTGCCTTTCCTTCACAGGCACAAGCTAGAAAGGACAGTGCCAAACCAAGCCTCTCTCATTAGATGAAGCTGAAAACAGAGCCTTTGCTGTGATCTCCCAATTTGCACATGAATGAATGTCCTTGAATGTTATTGCCTCAGAATTAGCCCTATAGAGGACTTTCTACCTGATCAAGTCACCAGAATGTTGATCCATAGATTGACTGGCGTGATGTCATTACTGGCGTCATCAATCAATCAATTTTATTTTATATAGCCCTTCTTACATCAGCTAATATCTCGAAGTGCTGTACAGAAACCCAGCCTAAAACCCCAAACAGCTAGTAATGCAGGTGTAGTCATCACTCCAAACCAATGCACAAATCTCTATTTCAGTATTCATTGAAAGTGATACAACATTCTTTAACCTTTATTTACCTTATCCTAGATAAGGAATCCCATTTCCAAGGGCGACCAGATCAAGAAGGCAGCTGCAGTATTTAGGAAGTGTAGTACGTCAAAATCCTAAATGAACAAAGTAATTTAACGTAACCACTTTTTTCAGTGTTTTATCGGTCAGTGCCATAGATTGAATTTAAAGTACCAACTGCAAGAGTTACTGTATGCCACATTCACAGGCTCTGGCCCTTCCCTCACATGCACCCTCCACACCATAAGTGCACGTCACACACAAGTCACTGCAAGCTCACCCAATGACTGATGTTTCTCTGACGTCCTGCCACTGAGCTAGCTGTAAAGGTGTAACAGCTGGAAGCATACAGAGGCATGTCACCTTTATGAAAGGCTTTATTTTTAAAACAAATATATTTTTTAAAATGTGTGGGGGGGACTTTTATTTTGTTTTGACTCATAGATTTCTTTGCGTTTTTGCATGTGTTGGTATGGCGATGATCAAGACTGAGAATGCTTATATATGCATGCAGGCTGCTCTCTCTCCTCCACGTGCTCCCAGAGAGCGTTCTCCTGACAAAGATGTGTTGCTCTTCCCCCCCCCCTTTCACCCATCCACCTTCCTCTTTCACCCTGATGACCCACCTACCACCCTCCCAACCCCTGCCCCTTGCCCTCTATCCCCACTCTCTCCCCTCTCCAACCCCCCCTGCCTCTGCCCAGACTACGCAGTGTGAAGATGGAGCAGAGGAAACTCAACGATCAAGCCAACACGCTAGTGGACCTGGCTAAGGTAAGAAGACCCCGATCCAGGCCCTGGCTTATAAAGACCATGCAGCAGGGTTTTTCAAAGGGCCGCAGCTGGCCGCCGGTCACCACATTGATGTGTGTGGCATTAGCACTCCAGGTGACTGTTTTAAAATGTTCTGAAGCTGGTGCTTTAATGTGTGTTTGCACTGCCGGACCCCCACCCCTCTCTCTACACATGTGGTTAAAGCAGTCTGTCTAGGCCTAGGGGATAGAGCATTGGATAGCCATGTAAATAACAGGTAAACTCTGCAACTGTATGTGCGTTATTCAACTTCTCAGTGGTCATTACCCTGCAAATAAAAATGAGTCGTTAGGACGTCCCCGGAACGTCACAAAATGGTTGCCTTAAGTCTCAGGACATTGTGTCATGGTCCTGTGGAGATTTTGTCTAGTTCCTAGTTTGTTCCGGGGACGTCCCCAAGGATGTTTATAGGACGTTCTTAGAGCGTTCTGTCATGTTCCCCTGGAGGTTTTGTCTATTTTCCCGGTTTGTTCTGGGGACATCCCCAAGGACGTTTTTAGGACGTTCTAGGGATATTGTGTCATAGTCCCCTGACGGTTTTATCTAGTTCCCGGGTTTGTTCTGGGGATGTCCCCGAGGACGTTTTTAGGATGTTCTTGAGATGTTGTGTCACGGTCCCCTGGAGGTTTTGTCTAGTTCCATCACGCGACGTCCTCTTGACCATCATGAAATGTCCCCTTGGATAACGTCCTATCAGAACCAAATAGGAACCTTTACGTAACGTTCCATAATGGACATTAAAATAACCTGTACTGAATGTCTTCTTATGGTCCCAAGGTTATCATCATGTTTAAATGTTCCTAGAACGTTCTCAGAACGTCAGTGGGATAATGTCTCGCCAAAACCCTTAAAGGGACCTTATCGGAACGTCGCCTAATGTCCTTAGAACGTCCCCTGTTTGCTGGACAGTAGCCTATTCAGTTCAACAGACAGCAGGGCTTTGCTTTTCCGTGAAGTCATTTGTAGATTATTCCCTCAGTTTATGATTCTGCTAATGACAGAATATGATGATGAAAAATGACCAATTAGCTCAGAGAAATGCATTCTCTCATTAATTTAACTGCGGGGCTAGGGTCCTGTTGTATTAGTCTACATTTTGAAAGACATCCTTGAGCCTGAATTGTCCCAGAACTAGGACCGGTGGAATTTACGGAGGTAGAACACTTCCAAAATGCATATGTATATCAGGGATCATCAATTAGATTCAGCCGCTTGAGCGGATGGTCAGGGTGCCGGAACATAATAATTTGTAGACTGCAAATTGGCTGCATGTAGCCCAAACATATATAATATTTGACTAAAACAAAATCACACCAGTTGGGGAACCCTGCTGTATATAAATAGACTTTCAGTGATTGAGTGTTTAGAAATTGCTGATAAAAAAAGATCCTCATAAATACATTCTTGCCCTAGTTACTACCCCTTCTACCCCAGATATTTTTATCTTTCCCGTCAACTCTGATATTGAGATCCTTAGATTCAGATTCTAGTTGTTTGCTCGTTAATTCTAGCATGATTTAATTATTTATTAATTTGTTCATTATTACCTCGTAAGGGGTCATGCGCAACTGATGTGAGATCAAAGTTACCAGGCTAATTTCCATCTTTGGCCCTTTGGCAGAAAGTTGCAACATACAATATTACAGTATTTACATACATATGCTTTGAGTGCAATTTATGAACCATACCAATAATACTGATAGAATTCAATATTTATGTTTTATTGCAATTTATGGACCATATCAATAATACTGATAGAACACAATATTTAAGTTTTAGCGTAATTTATGGCGAGTGTCAAACGACTACATTTTTATGTACACAGTAAATTCAGTTAGCATACAGTATGCCATAATAGATCCATCACCACCTCTCTCCCCTCCTCCTGCAGACCCAGAACGTGATGTACGACCTGGTGTCGGAGCTGCAGGAGCGCAGCGAGGAGCTGGACAAGCGCATCGGCATGCTGGAGGACAAGTTGGACTCGGTGACGGGCAGCCTACAGGCGCTGCCCTGCCT